GAACTAACATTAAACGTTTCCAGAACCACCTGTAACATAGCCAAATAAACTTCATTTTGAGAGGGAAAAGAAATGAAGACTTAGAAATCATATACCAGTAGATGGGAAGACTGGTTTATTTGTTCCTTGTGTCAAAAATATGTTAATAATTACCTGAATAGTTTCAGAGTCAAGAAAGTATCTTGAATTAATTAATGCAGGTTTCTCCCCAATTGTCACAGGAAAATACACATATAAACAGGACAAAATAAATTATTATACACATGCTTCAATATTACTAATGAGTAATTATTTCATGTACTAGAGAAAATTAATATAACACAGAGGGACTGAACGTAACAGTCTCTCTAAAAACAAAAGTATTCCACATTCAATTAAACTTATACTGAATATAATTCTCATTATTGCCACATACAATTCCTGTCTAGCATTTACACTACACAATGATGATTCTTTGCTCAACAGTAATGGCCAATATGGGCTCATTATTCGGTTTGGATAGCCCTCCTGATGCACGAGGGTGCCCACTGGCACGCTTATATGTAAAGAGGCAATTCAAGGTAAACACGTTCAATCACTTCAAATGTGTGCATTTATTTTAATCATCCCAATTCCCTTTCTTAATGCTACCAGTTTCCTCTTACTAGTTACAACTTACCGCATCACCTCCAACCATACTTCCCTCACATTAATTTACTCTTAATTTATCAGTCACACCATTCTCTCTCTCTCTCTCTCTCATTTCTTTCAACTTACGCCATCTCAAACCATCTAAGCTTCAACCTGCTGTTTCCCCTTTCACTTTTTCTTCTGCCACGCCTCCATACCACATCAGCCCCACAGTCAATTTTTCTATCTGTTTCTGTGTTCTCATCCACCTTCTCCTCTGCAATGCCTGCTTCCTTCTTTGAACAGATTTTCCAGCTCGCACCTTTCACGAGTAGTCATAAAAATAAAATTCTGTCCACATCTCCCATCGGACTTCATGCAATGGTAAATAAACTTTCATTCGTCACAATAATCAACAATATTTAAGGTTCCCTTTTAATCAGTACCCAGTCTGAAGCCAAGAGCCGTACAATAATTTCTGAAGATATGGCGAATGCGTCTTTAGACTCAGTTCTGCTTCTCACAGTTCCAACTAAATTAATAATAAAATGCTTACTAAATGTAAAGAATAAATTTCTTTACATCACAGTAATTAAAAGTCACAACAGATATTTAACAACATCAGTCAATAAGTTAATACACCTATTTATTTGTTATATGCTACAATTATGAAAGACTTTAAAAGTATGAGGAGTGTTGATTCCATCAATATCAGCCACACCGACAGAATTAAGACTGCACTCAAATCGGACAACAGCACGTCGGTACTGCCGGAGACTGCGCACACAGTGACATGACATATAATAAGTTATTTCAGACAATACGAAGTCAAGTAGCCAATTATGTATGCGAGATTTGAAATTGTCATGAAGATGCTGATGCTGCTCTTCTGGGTTGTGACGCCAGGACGTGTAGGTAGATACCAACATTTCAGAGGAAGACAGGAGTACATTCCTCTGATATTTGTTGCATACCTATAGGACTACAACGCATTAAATCCCAAAAGGCTGACATTCGCAAATATGTATTAAATCTCTGTTAAACAAGTCCACGGAAATTCAAAGTGTGTATAGATCAAGCCACTCTTCAAAATCTTCTGAACATATTTAAAAATACTACTTCCTTCGCATAATGTAATACATTCCACGAGAACTACTTTCTCTGTCCAAGAGACATGAATTTTGAAAAGGTATAGAGTACAGCAACGATGGTCTATGTGATTATGAAGCAGGCTTAGAGACGTAAGAATTTGTTCAAAACAAAGGAGTGTTTTCGGTATATGAACAGCCAACAGAAGAATAAGAGTTTCTTAAAATTTTGGTCACTGCGTGTACACACACGTGAATACATATTACAGTGAGACAGTGAATGCTAAATCCAGATTATCAGATAAATGTCTTAATAATATCTCGTACAAACAGGCAAAAAATATACCATCTGCTTATAATTTGAACAGTCAATTGTATAGAAGAGAAATGGCATATCTTTCATACTGTGAAAGAGATTTTTTTGACAAATTAATTCCAGACTGGGACCAAAAAGTATCCAGAATGATATGTTTTTTTGATGTAAGTTGATATATTTCTTAAAAAACTTCTTTCACTTCCAGACATATAACAACTTCTATTCTAGCTCTGTCACTAATTTATTATTGGTTTCATTCCCAAGGAGATAAGTGAGAACTTGCATACGACTAGAATCTCATCTAACCCCTCGTAGTTATAGACAAAGAAATTCAGGTATGTGGTTCGGGTTGTACGAAGCCTACGATATGACACCAGGCTAAGGCATCTTCACATTACAGTAAATACAATACAAATGTTAACATTTCTTCGCTTAGTAATTATGAATTCGTAAAGTGCTAGAAAGTACTGAATTTTGTAAAACGTTACAAATTGAAATTATAAAATCTTATAATCCGTGGCGTAACAGCCCTCTGAGAGCCAAAGCCGACTAGCTGGCTGCCGGCCTCAAGTTCACATGCCCAAGCAGAGGTGAACGATCATCCAACCAGATACAGGATGACGCGTGGTCAGCACAACGAACCCCCAGACATTGCTAGTTTCGATGACCGGATTACGCTACCCATTGTAAATCCCCAATTTCCTCACGATGCTGGGTTGGCACCGGTCCCATACACCGGTCGGAAATCTCATGAGAAATTTCTTTTCCCCGAGACTTGAACCGGCGCACATCCGAAGCATGATGCCTCAGACAGCGTGGCTACGGCGCAGGACTAATTGCAATTATATAAAACATTAACTAAAAACAATTATTCAAATATACAAAATAAGAGACAAATGAAACTATTATGCACATGTAAATATAGAATGAGTACTGGAAACTGTGGCACAAGAAAATACTTCAAGCAGCTGCCAAATATAGTTTGGGTCAATAGAATTTCACTAATCAATTCTTTACAACGATAAATAAAAATGCCAATAATATCCTGTCATAAAATAGATACCCCTTAATTGCAAAGCTTGACTTACATGTTATGAGAAAACATGATCCCATAGAATTTTTTTTAAATGTGTACAAACCTTCAGGCATTCTTTCCTACCAGTCAAAAATTGGTCAATACTAAAGTTAATATACAAACATTATGCATACAGTGTCCACTAACCAAACATTTCCATCTAAAAAAATAAACCATTTTAAATATACAAATATAAATAGTGTTTAAAGACATTTAAGGGAGTATCGTATCACTTCTTACGAAAGGAAATTAATCTTACGCGGAACAAAAAAATCTGTCACTAAACACAAACTTAAACTTCACTTAACCTTAAAATTCACTTTGCCAATACCTTTTAGTCTATGCTGGCAGTAGTCTCCCTAGACAGATTGGTCGAGGGGGAGAGGTACCCTGGTCCTCCAGGTTGGGGGTTGGCCGCAAGGCTAACAACCTTACACCGTAAAAAGGAAGATGTTTCGAAGCCTCGATCAAAGCCTTGGACAGACGGACCTAACAGAGGACCGAATGGAAGAGGAGAATTGAGGAGGCCATGGACCGAATACGGACCGGAGAGCCACAGAAGAAGAATACCATTTTTAGTCAAAACTGTTAAATTATTATTTCAACTACTATTTTCTTAGGACCATCCTAATTCTTTTGTGCAGTAAGATGAAAGCTACTTTACCCTGTATAATTCCTGAAACACTACCATCCTGACTCTCAGAGCAGAGACCATACAAAATACCAAAGTGCACTCGGCAATATTAATTAATAAATAAAACTACTGGTAGACTGTGCGAGATACATAAGACATTTCACCGAGTGATAATTATTTCACAAGGGAAAGAATAAAGAAATAAGAAGTGGGAAAGGATTCGGAGTATGAGGGCTTACACAGGAATTATTATTATTTACATTTCCTCAGCCATTATGAACAACGATGGTTATGAAGTCTACACAAATACTCTTTCAGTAAGCCTAGTAATTTCCATCGCTATAAGTTTGTCAGTTTGTGGCTTCTTTTTGAGGAGTCCTTCATGTTCTTCTGACAAACCTCAAAGTGATCTAGGAACTTGAGATGGAGTCTCGGAGGAAATACCTGCCCACAACCCGGGCAGATTACGTCCTCCTGAGTCTGGGTCGCAACTCCCTCCTCAGAGTATCTTGCCTTCCACGGGACCGAACCTTTTCGAACGTTTGACGTGGTAACGTTACTCTCTGATTTCGTCAGATTTCCAGATGATAACGTCTTGAACGACTTCTTCTCTTCAAAAACATCTTTTGTGAAATTGTAGGTCACTGGTGGACCTACCACTGAGGACAAACCTGAATCAAGAGACCATTGGGAAATCGCTGGATTCTCCTCAATCTCGCTACCAAACTGTATCTTCTCAGATATCGGCAAGGACGACGACTTGACAACCGATCTCTGCGAGAAGGACGTGACGGCAGCCAAACCACTGGCGCTAAAGCCAATGGTCACACCACTGGCTGAAGAATCCATTGACTTATCATCTGCCGTAAGGTTGCTGCCACTATTGGCAGGGGAGACGTGTAATACGGAGTACCTGTACTCGTGCCCCGAGTCGTCCTCAGGAGCAATGTTAAGCTCCAAAGCTTTCTCTCTTCCTTCTACTATTTCAGCACAGGAGCTTGCTACTTTAACTGTATGGGATAGATTGTTGTTGCCATCTGACTTTGTTCTGTGCATTATTTCCTCCTGAACGTCCTCATTAAGTGACAAAGGCGGAGGAGACTCGTCCACAGACGAAGATCTGGACCTCGGCATCTCACCACGAGATACTGCAGTTTTCTCTAAGTCATCACCAACCGCTTCATCACCATCAGTCACAAGGTCATCACCAAAATACACGGTTGTTCCTCTGGACAGGAGGTGACCCTGCGGGAGAAAGACAAATGACGTTCAAGAAATTATTCCCCAGATATTTTTTAACCCCCACTTAATGGTACCTAGACCTTGTTGTCGTGGTGGGGTTTGAGTACCTCAGTGACCCCAAGAGCTACTGGTAGGGCCTCCCTAGCCAGATTGGTCCAGGGGGAGAGGTACCCTGGTCCTCCAGGTTGGGGGTTGGTCGCAAGGCTAACAACCTTGCACCATAAAAAGGAAGATGTTTCGGAACCTCGATTAAAGCCTCGGACAGACGGACCTAACAGAGGACCGAATGGAAGAGGAGAACTGAAGACGTGACGGACCGAATACGGACCGGAGAGCCATAGGAGAAGAAGAAGAAGAAGAAGATATTTTTGAGCATGGACAATTGATAATAAACATATAATACCAGACTTGAAATTTTTCTGCTTCTTGACAAACTGAAACACAGGGTTGAAACATTTCAACCGTGTTTCAGCACGAAGCGACGCTTCACACATTAACAATACATGGGGACGAATGAAAACTCACAGACATGGGTTTGTCCACCCATCCGCTCTTTCTCTTTTAAATGACTCTTAATGTGCTATGGTCTAGAACAGTGGTATTCAACCTTTTTTTGTTCGTGTACCCCCAGATATAATTTCTCTTCAACTTTGTACCCCCAAAGTTGTTGATGTATAATTCAAGTTATACATAGTATATAATCTACATCTAAAATAAATTAAATAAATTGGATTACTGATTATTCAGTGTATATCATAAAATAATATATATTTTTTTAAATTTCACGTACCCCCTAAGATGTCTTCGCGTACCCCAGGTTGAATACCACTGGTATAGAGGGTTCTACTGCATTTTGCTTTTACAACTTCTAACAGAACACACCCTTCAGTTAATACTTTGACTAACCTAACCTAACCACATGGGCACCTGCTATCTATTTACGATGTGAGAGGACTTCATACAACAAATGTCAACTCTGATGAGTCGGGTGTTTGATCAAATGATCATTTCGATGACTGAGCAGTCGTATCAAACAACTGTTGGAATTTAGTTTGATACACAACTGTAAGTTTCGGTAGCAGAGTACGTGTTTTTCAAGAAAATGGGGGGAGGGGAGAAATAGAAGAGAAGAACAACAAAAATGTTTCAAGAAATTTAAGAAGGAGGTACAACACCGTCTAATGTATCTGATATGAATTGCAAACAAAGACAAAATAAAAAAAGACTATTTTTTTTTACTTTTCTTTCAATTGGTCTCTTCCATTTAGATTCTCTGACCACAATTTTGTATACATCTCTAATCTCTCCCATACGTGCTATATGCTAATCGCCGCCTCATTCGCCTGATCAGATCCAGGCAAAATATAATAAAAAATGGCTTATCAGAATTCTCAGCTAGCTGGAGAGATGTACATACAGAAGCGCAAGGAAGATGTACCGAAGTTCTGTAGGTTTTTGGGTTTTCCCTGTGACAGTGGCTGCCAGCTGTTGCAGCGCCGCAATGGCCGGCTTCGCACGCGTAGGCGGCGCAACAGTGAACGCAGTGGACAAGCTGCTTGTGCGGTCGCCCTTCCCTCAGCTGCGGAACACAGAACGGCACAAGCTATTAAAACCAGAGCAGCATATATTTCGTTACGGAGCGATGATACCAATGATTACATTAAATTTTACGCTTCCTCCTCATCTATCAATATGTAATGACGCAGAGAATGAATAAGAATTATGTGACGACGAAATATGAAGCACTTTACAGCAAAGCCCATGATAAAGTTGATAATGCATCCAGCACCTTGAGTTTCAAACTGTGGACATCCCTCTTCAACTCCTTCACCAGGCGCTCCAACGCAGCCTTGTCATGTAACGCTTGCTGTTTCTCGCTGCGCTCTGCCTCCCAGTCGTCACGGTGCGCCTTCACTTGAAATTCCAGTACTTCCACGTGTTCCCGGTGCTCCTGCTCCAGCCGTTCCAACTGCTTCTGTAGTTTTTCAAGTTCCTCCTTCAGGGACGCGTTCTCGGCTTGCACGTCTTCCAAAGTCTTGTGATGGCCTGGCGTTACCTGACAATGCAGAGGCGTGTGATTAAGAGTCAGTAAAAGATTCATTAAACATTACATGAGATATCACTCGATCACGTGTCACAAAATATTGTTTGCGGTTACATCTCTCATCAGCGTAACATATCGATCTGTTTTACAGCTTCCCTCGGACCAATTTAATTTAAGAATTATTTCTGGCTACTGAAGACACAAAATTCAGGTAAATTAGTCAGAAGTCATTTAAACCGAGAGAGAAATATTTGACTTATCCCACAGAAACCTCGCCGTCGCCAATCTGTCCTAACTGTCCGATCTCTAAGTTAGTCGCATAACCGGTTCTTAACCTCACATTACTAGAGGATGCATTTATTTGAGGGAAAACACTTTTGTGCAGATATCTAACAACGTTCCGAGAGGTGGCAGACGGCAACGAGCACCTCTGAAGGCATACAAAACTTCTCCTCAAGACTGAACTGCAAAATGGCTAAAGTATTCTTCTGGTAGCATCTCAACGTCATGGGCTATAAGAACCACCGCAATAAGACTTTCATCACCGTAACAAGACTGGCTCCAGGGACCACCGTCCCCTATCCGAGCGCCGGGCAAGCGGTTGGAACGCGCCAAACCTTACCCCATCATCCGACGTCAATGTTAAGAATGAACGTAACTTTAAATGTCTCTTCATTACGTGTGTTCATGTGCAACGACAATTCTTACTCAATTAGCTCAAGACGTGGGACGTCTTGCGTGTTATACCAACGTCAAACTTCCAAGGAGTAGTTACCTGCTGCACGGATGGAAATGCTCTGCATTCAACGATCTTATTCATCTGTTCCTGCTGCTCCTGTATGGTGGACAGAAGACGCTGGACGTACATCTGCCTGTCATTGTTGTATTTTTGCCAACGCTTGTTCACCTCCGTAACCTGCGCCAAAAATTGATTACTTCCTAATTTTTCAAAATAACAGCTCTATTATTACACATATTATTAACATATTCTAACATTAATTAACCGACATAATAGCCTTTAAGTAGGCCATGTCATAGGTCAGATGACTAAGGCACTGGCTCTTCACCAAGGAGACCCGGGTTCAATCCCAGATCACTTCACATCAGATAAACAGTGAATTTTTTACAGGAAACTGCCCACATAGATAATGACCTTACGTTAACGCACAGTGACCTGTGATCAAAGACTACACTATTGAGAATAAAAAAAGAGTAAAATGTTTAATATTGTTTCTTATATACTTCGAGCAAAACCTCGAACACCTACGAAATACTCACATCTGTAATTACTGCTTGCAACTTGTAATTTTCTTCCTGAACAGCTCTGAAGTTTTTCTTGAGCTCATCAACTTCTGTCATTGGACTATCACCGTTGCTCTGTAACACAGATACGATAAATGAGTAAAAGCCTTCGTTAAACACCACGAGGATGCACTCCGAAGCCTGTGACTATAATTCCATTACTTACGAACAGAATGTCACGAGATAAAAAGAAAAGAGATGATAATTTCTCCAGATCACAAAACAAAACTGCGATAATACCAAACATAGTTCACGTGGCCGAATTTATGTTGGTATGAAAACAACAGATCCCTGAGAAATGTTGCCAAGAGTTTGGATGAATGTTTGCTTCAGTGGTAAAAGGGGTTCATGTCATCTCCATGTTTGTTACAAAGACAACACTGTCTTTATTAAGTACTAATTTAGAAATAGGGGTGTCAAAACTGTTTTCAACCCCAAATTTAAGGAACACGACTGCGGGCAGAATGTGCCTCCAGTCACGATGACGAGGACTGCCTGCCCTCTGGAAAGGTACGTCATGCAGTCTGGGTAAGAATTTTACTGATGTTTTTTTAGACGTGTTTACTGCCTCCATCATCAGGGCGATCGCCTTAAGCACCTCTGAAAACTAGCAGACTACATGTCGCAACATCCAACATGACTGTCATTTGTTTTATTTGTTGCCGTGAGAACCTAAGATCTCACCTATTAAAGAAACAGTTCTCCCACAGTTGCTGAAGCCTGACTGAGAATATTCGTATAACCTGGATTCTGACATCCATAGGGAAAATGAAATGGCAATTTGTTGCGGTATTTTTATGTAGAGTCTAAATACGATATCGACCTCCCATGAGAAGTAGGCAGTGATTGGTCTTCTGTCGCAACAAGGAAAAGTGCGCAGGCCAATCCGCGACTGGAACAAACAGATCAGGATGAGACAGGTCTGTGGTACTTCCTCAAGACAGCACTCAGAAAAAAACAGGGGAAGGGGGGGGGGGTTTGCCCGTCGGAATGATCTGCCAAATCGTAACAAAGCAGCGTTCATCACACCCCGATTTTTAGACGGTCAGGAGAGGAGCATTTTCATTGCCACAACAAAAACAACGAACGCCTCGTTCTGTCCGTTCGTGAACGGGGTTTTAGTAATATTTCAAATTGCGTAAACAGGAAATGTCATCTCGGCCATCACGAATAATAATAATAAAAAAAGTGGTTGCCATATTACTTGCGATTTAAATGCAGTCTTATATTTATTTCCATAAACATTCGACAAATTGAACAAAAAAAACTACGTAAAATGATAGTATTTTGAGAAATTACCTATTTAACATTACGTAACTTAATATGAACCTTTTTAAACATCTAAAAGAACTATAACATTGTTTATATGACCCTAATGTGTTGAAATACAGCCACGGTTGTCTAGCGGTTAGAACGCTGGCCTTGTAATCCTGGGGGGTCTCGGGTTCGATTCCTGGCGGTGCCCGAATTTATAACTCGTGTTGGGCAAGGCCGTGGTCTAGGCAACACGGAGTTTTCCTCCGGGGGCTTCCCCCGGTTCTCCGTGGCATCCCAACAATTACTCCATTCACACACAGAAGAAGGCAATGGCAAACCACTTCTGGATCATCTGCCAAGAACGTATATGAACAGGTCCCAGTCCGAGAAAAGGGTGGAAGGATCCTGTTCATATGGACCTGTCGTCAGACAGAACACTAAATAAATAAAATGTGTTGAAATGAAGTGCATTTGGAAACATAGAAACCTAATTTTTTTTAATATTGTTGTAGCAAAGTTAATGAAAACTCCTTAGTTTCTTTACACATTAATACTGAATGGCTAAACTGTAATTTCCCAGTATTCGTATTTACTCAAAGCCTCAGTCCCAGTTTATCAGTCGAAAAAATAATCCTGATGGAATCACACCAAAACAGAACGAAAAAAAGGGGGCCCCCCCCCCCCCGAGCCAGCGGTATGCAGCAGAGAATACTGAAGTTACATTAGAGGATTTACAAATAGCGTGTTTGTAAACTGTGGTGAGAAATGTTATCGATTTATTGAGGTAAATTTGCATTATATAGGGAGTATATACATTGTAAAATATTCAATGTTCAAAAAATCCATTTTCGCACAGAGGACTGACCTGGGTGTGGTGGACTGTGGCACCGGGACTTTATCAGAGTCCATTTCCCCCTCTTCCAGTGGTCCAGCACCATCGTTGAAAATAATTCATAACATAGTCCAGTGGTATTCAATTTGGGGTACGCGAAGACATCTTAGGGGGTACGTGAAATTTAAAAAATATATTATTTTATGATAAACACTGAAAAATCAGTAATTTTATTTATTTTAGATGTAATTATATACTACGTTTAACTTGAATTAGACACCAACAACTTTGGGGGTACAAAGTTGAAGATAAATTATATCTGGGGGTACGCGAACAAAAAAGGTTGAATACCACTGACATAGTCGAACGTTCTACAGGTTGTCCAACACAAAAAAGCAGGAGTCTGATGGAAGTTCGTCTTTCACCATGAATAAAGAACACAGATTACCCACTTTCATTATTATTTCCTGCGAAATGTTAAACGCAATTTAAATATCTTTTCCTCAATCGATACTGATAATAGTGTCGATAACGGATGATTAACAAACGCTGGGGGGCGAAATCAGAACGGGGAACCCCTGAAATTTCAAACGTCGACTTCCTCATTCGTTGGTGGTAATGCACGACTAAGAGACTTGGACGAAATCAGATAATTTCTTAACCAAAACGAGAGCCAAAGGACCGACATACATTACCCAGCTACTTAAGACTTATTTTGACCCATATAAAAGCTTCGATGCTTAAATGTAATTACGCAATTCTCGGGCACCGTTACGTTAAGTCTCCTAGTCGGAACCTCATCTTAATAAAACATCCTTCAACCATAAGACAACGGCAGAAAACTTCGTGAGGGCAAGGACCGTAAGAAGTTAACAATTTTACTTAATTGCGCACTGGTAATCAAAGTGAAATAATGGACAAGACTCAGCACTTAATTTTACTCACATCTGCTGGCTACCCCTTGATATTTACCCAGATGCAGCACTGCGTCTCCCCAGGGTGGCAAACGTGGGCGAGAGGTCCAGCAGCTCTGGGCTGTTATACCTTACGGTCAGAACGTTTTCCTGGAGTCCTTACCCTCTACCCTTCTCTGAATTCTTTTACCTGTGAGTCCATGATCACGTCTTATCATTTCTCAGCATCTTGCGTCTCTGCAGTTCTATTTCGATCCCTGCACAAAATGGACCACGTTCTAAAGCCTACTTGTAATCGTACTGCAGCAATTGCCACACACCAACGCAACACCGGCGCACACTAAGTCACCAGCTCACAGATAACAGAACAAGTGTTTACCGAAATTTAGACAAGCTTAAATTCCTCCGCCTTTATCAAACCCGAAGATCCATTACCATGTTCACGTGAAGGAGCCACTGGAAAAAGACCTCGAAATCACGTGAATCCACGTGACAAGGAGCCACTGGAAAAAGACCTCGAAGTCACGTGAATCCACGTGACAGGAGGGTAGTACTAAATAGTTCTTGTGTAAATAGGGTTACAAGGTAAAGGATTGAATTCATCTGGCTTCTGGAGACCTGCATGCGGGGGGGGGGTTAAATTGCATTAAGCGAAAGGCAAGTCACAGAAGACATCCCATCTGCGTTTAGATCCCATCCGTGGTCTGTCCCCTTCAGTTTTCACACTAAAATTCTGTGTGCATCTAACAACGTGCATGCTACATTCCATACCAATCTCACCCTCCTTAAACTTATCGCCCTAATAATATTCGGCGAAGAGTGCAATTCTCTCCAAGTTCATGTCCATATGAAGAAGGAAAACATAAAAATACTTCTCAATGACTAGTTCAGCGACGACGGAGGACAAGATATGTTTTATCTGTTCTATTACTTATTTATAAATTATTTAACGGGGAGACTAAGGACAACCACGAGACACATTAGCGAGGATAACGGATTTAAAACCCGGTATTTTAATCGAGTACGTCACCTACAGTAGGGAGACATTTACTATGGGCGATTCTGTAACTGTCCAAACATGGTGCAGACGTGACATGTCGACGATAATATAAAACAGCAACATGTGTTACCATAAACGAAAGCCAGAGTGACGTAGGAAGTTTAGTCGCGTAGTTAAGCTTGTGCAACCTCACACTGGACTGCATCACAGGCCTCGAGGGGGCTCCCGCTTCGAAGACCAAGGACAGAGCCGACAGTATCCAAAGTCCACTAACTATTAACAGGCCACGTGTGTCGCTTGCGACAGGTGTCTTTTTGACAGACCGTCTTCGGGGGTGTTGCAGTGCGTAAGTGACATCTCAGCATTTCCTACTTAAACCATTACAGCCGACGCTCGTCTAGAAACATTTTCAAAAAAACCCGAAAGAAAAGAAAATACGTCTCCATGGCAACGATCAATTGGTAAATCCTGCTTGGAGTAATGATCTCTGCATTATTCTGAGAACCACAGAATGCAATCTGTGGGCAAAAACGCAGAAGAATTACTGACTGTTAAAGCAGATGGTACATTTTCATCCCGGGGTTTGAAGAGCTTATATATAAGATATTGTAGGTGCGTCATATTGTGATTTTATTTAAAAATAGTATTAAAATATATTAAAATTGTCCGTCAATGTCGGACAATTTTAATATATTTTAAGCTTATATATATGAAAAATAACACGGAAAGAAATTTCAACGACTGTAATAAGAAGACAGTCTTATTAACCAGCAAATGCAACCTCATATCATAGACAAATTATTGAATTAACCACAGCCGATACGATCAAAAAATTAAACTTACGTCTCGCAAGCCTTAAAAAATAAAAAAGTACATAAACAATGGAAGGAAAATAAACAGACAACAAGAATTGTAAATACTGCCGGTAAAAACGGACATCAAACATGCGTACAGACGAACACAAAACAACCTCGCCATTACGCGTTCAATCACAAACGCAAAATCCCATCAAAAGCATTCCTTTCTGAACATAAATTCTCGTCTCGTGTCAGCTTCACGGACAAGCCTATCC